TTTCTAGGCAGGGCAGAGAGGGTGGAATAGGGCGATCGGGCTCTGATGTATCGTCATTAACATCGGTTTCATATTAGAACAAATACGTCCCTGTTTTTAAGCTCTAAAAGGCGCGTCTCGGTGTAATAGGACGTAATGCACCCCATGATAAAGTCTTTTAAACTTTATTCCCGTTCACACGCGATCAAATGATATAACCATTAATGATATATATTCGCGCATTACGAATGTCATGTTTAAAATAATGGAAATCTGATTTCTTACTGATTCTAATTGACGTACATGCCTTACGAAAGAAATTTTATTCTGTTAGAAAAAACAGACGAGAATTCCTGTTTCCAAAAATTCTTTTGTTTTCTAATGAAAAAGAAATCTTCTAAATTTAGTTTTTCTTAAGTAATGTATTTATCAAACAAAGTCATGCGGAGAGAGTTTTGTAAAACGTGCACGTATTTTAATTGTTATAGTCAGATTAGTGATTTTTTTTTTTTAGTTAAAAAGTTGATACGATAAATACAAAATCTCAGCATGTTGTATAAAATTGAGAAAAATATCTTATTAAAAAATAAAAATATTACATATACAAATGTAGAATATTGATTTAGCATTTGAATAATTATTCCTGTTTCAAATAGATACTGACATTTGCATAAAATTAAATTTTCGCAAAAATCAACTGCGAAATTTATAAAGTATGTATTAAGGAATGTAAAAAAAACATAAAAAACATTAAAGATAAAAATTATAATTTTTGATTATTTTACTCTTCATAATATTCTATTCTAAATTTGAAGTCAGGTTATAATCATCAGAAGACTTCTAGATACTCTTATTTCTATGTTCTCGTGATAAAAATGAAGATACTGATCTTAAAAGTTAATGCAGTCTTGTTAAACATCATAATCGAGGTCTGTAATGAACGTGCGGATAAATAACTGCGAGTGCGTGTTTTACAGAATGGAAGGTAAATCATCCCCCGTCGCTTAATGGAGCTCGGCCACAGGCTGATGCGAAACAAAGACCGCGACAGGGGGGGGGGGGGGAAACGAGTGCAACCCCCGCTCGTTCACGGCCGCCGTAATTCACAGTTTGGTGGCGCGTTTATTAACGGCGGCGCGACGTCACTCCGGGCTACGCCTTTTTAATGATTTATCGTGCACGCGCCGAGACATGCGTAGCCCTTTTGCGGGCCAAAGTTCGACGTCTTCCTCGGAGCCCCGCGGGGCCTTTTCCCTCCTTCACCTTCCGCCAGCTGCCGATCGGTGAGAAGTGCAGATGGAGGCGCAGATGTTGCGTTTCAACCCTGTCACCGTTCGTAACTGCATAGTTCCTCTTCTTGTTGTCGAGAAACATCTTCCTCCTCTTGACGTTAGGCGAATCATAAACTCGGATATGACCGACAGCTTTTCCATTCAGTTTTAGGATAGTTTAAAACTATTTGCACGACGTCTAAGATGCGAAAACGACAATGAGAAACTAGATGCAAAAAGAACAGTTTTGCTAAAATATTTAACACTTTAGCTAAATATAATTATAATATAATAATAAAATAATTTTGTTGAACCATCAAAATAATTATTTGAGATGTTTAAATTGATTGGATTTGCTGGAATGTCAAAACATTTTACAACATCGCTCATCGTGCTTAAAATTTTTATAAAATTACTTTCAGGTCTAGTTAAATTTTTAAATACTTCAGTAAAATAGATTTTGAAAGAACAATCTTCCCATGTATAAGCTAAAACGGATAAATAGCAAACAGTTATAATAATACGTTACAATCGTGTCTGAATGATCGACTGTTATAAGAAAATATCAATCTAAGATTGAGTAATCGAGGACTAATCAATGGAGACAAGCAAGTGTTGTTTTCTTTTGACATGACTTCATCGTGATGCACGATACTAATCGCTTCTGTCAATGCGCTCGGCAGACTGATCGCGGCAGTTTTTAGCGAGATTGAAATGAGCCTTGCGTGGATATATCGAGCCGAGTAATAAAGGATACTACTCATTATCGGCGGAGTGTAATCGATGGTTTTATGACTCAAGTTCTGCCACGATGTGTACGTCTGGCAAGATAAAAAGACGCCGGATAAACCGAATACTGGACAGACGATGAAGCGCGGTGAAAAACGTTTAATTGGACTAGATTGTGGACGGCCGAGGTGGTTGGAGCGTAGATGACCGGTTCGCGCAGGCACGTAAAGTATTGACGGTGAACTTCGGAAAATTCTGCCTCACGTTGAGAGCACCATACACTAAATTGCTCCCCCGATGTATTACCAGGAAGAGCGTACGGAATTTAGAGTACGCGTATCCTCTTATCGCCGAGGTTACGCCGCGGCGGAAAGAAGGTCGCTATATACTCGACATCGGGGCTTTAATCGCATAACTGTACCCCACCGCCCGTTCTAACCCTTCATTAGGCGCACATCTACTTTACGTGATTTTTATTTTAGCGGCCGTCCATACCGCTCTCTCGCACCCGGCGCGAATATCGTACGTACGTAAAATGCGGCTTAAATTAATCCGCGTGTAATGGTCTCACAAGGTTACTTTCCTCGATCGTTCCCGATGCTAATGGCGCGTGCGCTTCATCGTGTTAGAGTAGTACATGAGATGGATACGATGATTCCTGATATAAAAGGGAGATGAGAAGAATATTAATATTTTGCAATTGTAAAAATGTACACTTGATATAATCTGATAAATTTTTTAACGAGGGAAATTATTTTTTAGACATCAAACGACATCATCCCTTTATTTGAGATATGAAGTGATTGAAATTTAAATATGTCACAGAAAAAATGGTTTTGCTAAAATACCTAAAAATTCAGCTAGATATTGATTTGAAAATAAATTTGTTATTCAGAATAATACATATGAATCTCAACGTGTTGAACAATGATGCAAAACCAATTTCAATGTACTACATAATTATTTGATGATCCAAAATTATTTTCAAATCTGTGTCTAATTAAATTTTTAGATATATTAGCACTGTCTTTCCCGTATGCGACTCAGAAAGATACGCATTATAAATCTAATTTCACATTTAAAGCAAATTCTGTTCCTCTTTCTCTCTCTTGAAATGGACCAATGGACTCCGATTCCGGATAGCTCATGTATGCGATACGCATCTCGCGAGCACGAGCGGCCCAGGAAGCCATCTTGTTAAACTCGAGGGATTTCCGGGCAAGGACGAAAGGATCATTAGCGGCGGGACGGATTCATCGCTCATATGCGAGTTCCCGTGCGATGAAAACTGCATGAAGAAAAGACAGACACGTCCTGTCCTGTCGATATAAATAAAGTATCGAAGGGATGGACACACTTTGGCTCGTCCGAACACAACGACGAGCGAAATGAAAAATGCCGAGACGGCCGATCAATGTAAATATATTCATGACGTGGGGTGGCCGAGCGGCCACAGGGATGCCGGAATATATACACATACGCATGTACGACGGGGTTTTATAGGATGGGGTTCGTCGAGAACTCGATGGCACTTGGACGGCACATAATTCACTCTTTGGCAGCTCATTACAATTTAAAAAGGCCTTTGTCAGTGTACTATTCGTGATTTCGTTCACGGTCTCGTGGCGTTCGCGCATCGCCGCACCTTCAGTGGCAGTTAACGATGCTCTACTTAGTTCTTCCTTCGTCATGTATTAAGTCTTCAATATGAAATTAGAAATGTAAATTAAATACGTTAATGTTAAGAAGCAAATTAAATAAAACCAAATTAAATAAAATCAAGTTAGATATTTTGTTAAATATTTGAGTTAAACTAAATAATTTTGTTAAATATTTAACATATAAAACATTTGTAATTTCTATATATACGCTTCGTAAGATTAAGTGTTTGTAATTTCTATGCTTATATATGTTTGAAAATTTTTTTTAACAATTATCTATTAGAAAAAAAATAACCACGCTGTTATGATAGTTATCTTTCTGTACGTGTCGCATCGTGTCGCAAAACGTAATTAATTGTATTCATTATCTCGACAATAATTTTGCCGTTATGCACGACTTATACCACCAGGAACGTATATATCACAGATTATTATCCTAATCACTGACGGATCAATAATGACGAGTTCGTTTTCTCCCATCCGCGAAACCGGTTTGAAACAAAGAATGACGATAGGCCAGGAGATTTCTAATTTAACTCGTTCAAACGTCCACATTGAAAGAGAAATAACTACGTACGCGTTTTCGAAACTGATTCGGACCATTACAATCATCTTCTTTACATTCGATAATTTTGAATTGACATATAAGAATGTATACTGATTTATAATGCAAGAGCATATAGAATTATTGGTATAACGAAGAAACTGATATTTTTCCTAATGATACAGTAAAAATGTAAATATATGAATAATAATTATGTGAACAATGAATTTGTTTTCGATATTTGTTATGATATTTAATATTGAAGTAAGTTTATGAAAATTTCTGTTTTAAAATGCCAACAGTTCCACATTGATATATGATATTTTCAAAACACACGAATATATATGAAACAACAATAGTAACAAATCCGTTACTCTTTTCTCGATATTCATTTCTCTCCAATGCTACATAAAAATAACAGGTCTCTACTAGTCTTTAATGGCTAATTGGTTGCGCGCAAAAAACTAAAAAGCGGGCGCTGCAAAAATTTATGCAAAACTCCGCTAATCGGTGAGCGGCCAACAAGTGTTTGAGTGCCCGATTATCCTGTTGATTACGCACCTCGCTCGCGTTTTATACTTTAACACGTTTGTTAATCACTCTAATCCGCCTTCGACGAGCATTCGCGAACCCGGCAATCCGCGAGAATAATTAATTACGTACGCCGCTAACATGTGTGCCTTTTTGCGCAACGAAATACGCGCGAGATTGCGACACCTTTTGTCCCGACGTAACACGGAGAGTCGAAACCGGATAGAACAGGGTGGTAAAAAAAAAAAAAAAAAGAGAGCGTGTGTGCAACTGCATTCCCGCGGGATAGGGTGGAGAAGGAGAAGCCCGAAATTGATATGTATTCCATACCGTGCCGCGTCCAATCTATCGTGGGTCAAGCAGGCGGAATTTTAAGCGCGATTTGACGTATGCGCGTGTACGTGCGTAACGCGTGCGCGGCTACTGAGTGTCGAAATAGCCTCAGACGATGAAACTGTGCGAAACAAACAGTAGCCGACCGGCCCTCGGATCACCTCCTCGCATTCAGAAACTTATGAGGGCATAAAATATCCCGATATTATCTTATATCGTCGAATACACGCGTGTTCGAAGATACGTGGGCGTGCGCGCGCGCGTTTCTTTCTATTGTGCAAAGGGATGGCGCGCGGCCGCGATGCCCAACGAGGGTTGGGCGGCGGTCATCGTTGGAAAATTGAATTTCGTCCCTGAGGGCCCGTCGGATGAAGTATGCTGACAGTTGGAAAATTTGCGTTTAACCGCGCGCACGCGACACCAAGCGCCGGAATATATCCCCGGGAAAATCTTCCCGCCATCGTTCTCTCTTTTTTTTTTTCATCACTTTTATTCCCTCTTTATTTTTTTTTCACAAGTGCGCTCGAAACGTGTGAGTTTCGATATTGCGATTATTTAAAAATACGCTTGGACTTACCGTGAGGCACCCATCCATGATGACAGTTCTCGCAGTAGCGCAGATGACGTTTCCCGGGTGTGAAAGATTCGCAAGAGCAGCCATTCACCGTGCAGCGGATGGACTGCAATCAGAAACAAGTGCGTCACTGTAGAAAGACTATTAAGTTAAGTACAGAGAAAGTATCGTATAACATTTAGAAAGAATCGTCAGCGGTGCCTATTCAACAGGAAGGTTTCGTCTATCTGTATCCCATGTACCTCAGTTCAGTACAGATTAAGGGACGATTGCCGTAGGCAATGGAAAATGGACGGCAGGGGTTCTTAGTATTTTGAGTGACCGTTTGGCGTAACGCCACCCCAGAGGAAGCTCGTAAGAGACAGGCTCGTCGGATTTTAAGGAACCGTGAATATTTTCTGCCCTTTGGCTCGGAATTAATCCCCTGGGATCGACCATCCAATACCGCCTTCTACATCCTCGAAGAGGAGAAAAGGAACCGATCTCGCGTATCGGTATTACTTTATATATACGAGAACGCGGTAGAAAACTTTATTCGCTACACTGTTGCAAGTTACCTGTAGGTATGTATCCACATCGAGATATCGACGTATCTCGTCGCCGCCGTACTGTATCGAAACGAAAAGGTGGCATCCCTTCCCTTTCAACACCCATGTCTATTATAGATCTGAAAGTTCACCCACGAAAGTTCAACACGAATATGCATTAGGAAGTTCGATTTGCAATTATCGCGCTAATGTATTTGGGGGACCGTCTGAGATTTTACGTAATATCGTATTGCTTTTAGAAATTGTGAAATTGGTTTACTTATTTAATCTTTTAATAATACATTAGCAATGAGTTTAAGTTTGCTTCATCGGAAAGAACGGTTCTACTGAACTATCTAAAAATTTAGCTATACTAACATAAGAAATATATTAAATTTTAATAAATATATTTATTTATCATAAGTATAATAAATAAATTAAATTCATACTCTCTATTCAAATAAATATTTATTAAAACTTACAATTAATACATTTTTCCTCACTGTATAAATACACCTAGATCGGAAAATAATTGTGTTTGGATTATTAAAATAATTATGCGAGACGTTGAAACTGCTAGAATATTAAAAGTCTGCAGCATTGTCGTCAATACTTAAATATTCTATACATAATTGTTTTAATGATCCGATAATATTAGTTTCTGTGTTTACCAAATTTTTTAGATATGTCAGCTAAATCATTCTTTGTGTACGGCACTTATATCCTTAATATTCTTCAACATAACATTATTTTTTTTTTAAATAACAGAAGAATTTATAATCATTTCTTGTTTCTCTCTCGAATTATTTTTTTCTTTAATTTCTTTTCGCTACAATCAATTCAACTTGAGAGAAAGTTTACCTTCTTTTTCTAATAAACACATATAAATACACGTAAATATACACTTTCCTGACTTTATCTTCGATCACGATCATCACGCATCTTCCATATCAGCGAAAACGCAATTTACCGAGAGACGCAACCCCTGGCGACGTTCGCAGGAGTAATAATTTGGAATCAGGGGCAGTTCTCGCTGCCTTCGTCCCTCGTAAAACGGCAGCGCGTTTATATAAAGAGGCGAAAAAAGAGCCGCGAGAAAACGCTGGGAGGGGTAAAAAGTTGTTTCACGGTGGTGTTAGACGCCGACGCTACCCGTTGTGTTGTCGTCATAACGCCGTTACGACGTTACACAGCGGCGTTAATATAAAGACAAATGAAGCGACGCCACGGTGCACGCTGTGCCGCCTCCTGCTTTGCTCGGCTATGTGTCTTTATATAGACAGTATCCCGTGCCACCGTGAAAAACGCATCCGCCGGGAATCTTCTGTCGCGCGAAGAAGCGATGCGCTAAGACGACGTGTGCGACAAAAATTCACAAGCGGTAAAATTTTATTAGCCACACCGCGGGTTATTTATTCGGAATGGCGACAGATTATACGGCGATATTAGCGGAGCTGCTCCGGGTAAGAGGGAGCATTACATCAGAATAAAAATATAACGTGCTTGCTTATCGCAAGCAACTTTCTTCTTTCCAGGTAGATTTCATTAATAGTCATTATGATACTTTTATCCAATTTATTTATGTAATTTTCAATTTTTTTAAAATTTTTATGGCTCTTTTAATTTTTCCTTTCTATTTTATGTAAAACAAATTTATGATAATTGACTAAAATAAAACATATCTCTTTTATTATTTATTTATGTATGTGCATATTTTTTATATACACGTGATTTTTCTTAATTTGTTTCTCAATATATTGAATTCCGGAAAAATATGTGATTAAAGCTTTGTAAATGTTAATTTAATAAGGAACAATTCACTGATATATTTAAAGATAAAATTCAATTGTGAACAACAAAATATATTTGCACTGCTTTGCACACAATCTATACAGCGTTTATATATTACATTATCGTAATACTGTACGCGTAATACTTCCTGGATCTTTCACTTCCATCTGGCATTGTCATTCTATTTGTCTTCCAAACGTGATAATACATTAGCCTCGCGATAACGAATGCTATTTCTCGAGTTACATGCACAGAAGGTGTGTCATTTATTCGTTCCAGTTCTTTTTCAGGATATTCCAAGCCGACTTCTCTTATATATCTGAATCAAAGTCTAGTTCACGTATCATCAAGTCCGATCAATATGCTTATGTGCATATATTTATTCGAATTCGAAGTAATGAAGTTGAATAACCTGAATAGAGGAAAGAAATGATTTTGATTACACAGAAAGAATGATTTTGCTGAAATATCTAAAAATTTAGCTAGATACAAAGAAAATAGTTTCGTTGGACAAAATAATTATGTAAGACGCTCAAATTGCCAGAGTGTCAAAATTTTTTACACCTTTATTTATTTTCAAGTTTCCTACGTAATTATTTTAATTGTTCAATAAAATTATTTTTAAATCTATATCTATCTAAATTTTTACTAGCAAAATCATTCTTTCCATGTAGACATAGAATAAGGCGATATTTAAACCCCAACTCTGTTTTTAAATTATTCACCATTCAAGTTCGTTATACACACTATAATTTCAAGTTTTTTCAGTATACTTCAACTTAATTAATAACAAAGTTAAATGAATAAAACGTTTATCTGCCCATACATCCAAAAGCATGTACGACTCTAACAAATCACAATCCCGTAAAACTTGTACCATGAATAATTTATAAAATAATATCATATTCATAAAAAAGAAGTCATTTAATATTAAAGAAGAAAAATGTAAAATTGTTATGTCTGTGCCGACATAATTATGTATAAAGGTTTTGTGATCTCATAACTAATATAAAATAACTTTTTTTCAAGTTGCTTTTCATAATTCATTACGTCACTATTCCACGGCTGGTATAACGCGGATCTGCCGTGATGTACAACTGCGAATGGATTCGCCAGGTTCTGGCTCGAGTGTCTCTGTCACCTCAGTCGTTCCCCTTTTACTTTTGCGTACTGTCTTCTGGTATCGCGTCGTACAGAAGGCAATAATATTTTTACGAACCTCGAAACATTTATTACCGCCTGTAAGCCGTTACGCGGTTTTTCTTGCTCTTTTCTTGATATTTGCTGCTTAAGGATGCACCAGTTCCCGCAAACGTGTACGTGTATATGTATAAGTATCATATATATGAACTTCTTCTTAAATAACGTCTTTCGATTAGGGTGATAACATCTCTGGGAACGTCTACTCAAAGGTTTCTTCCATTTCCCGATTCTTAATAACCCGGAAGCAACCCGAATGACAACTTTATTCCGTCGTTAGTATTTGTTACAATTATTATCGATGTCTTTTTGTTTGAAACTATAAGTGAACAATATGCCCCATCTATCAATACCTTTAAGATTCTAGTTTAAGAAAGGAGATTGGAAATACATGGAAAGATACATTTTTTTATTGAAATATCAAAAAATTTAGCTAGATACAGATCTGAAAATAATTTTGTTATCAAAATAATTATGTAAGACGTTTAAGTTGATTGTTAGAACGTCAAAGTCTTTTGCAGCATTGCTTACTTTCTAAATCTGAATCAGTGGATAGTTATTAATTATCCAGTAATATACTTGGCACTAATAATCAGTGAAGTTCAATTAAAAAAGGAAGAATGTTTGAGCATTATATAACTAAAATACTGATATTTGCACGTTAATATCAATCTTCCAATTTCATTGAATTTAAGCAATAAAATAAGATTAGTTAGATCACATAAATAATTAGCTAGGTTAGGGATCTCACATTTAACTTACTGATTACCAGTGGCACTGAGATCATTATAGTGATTAGCCACTGATTCAGATTTAGAAAGGATCATGCTTGTGATTCCTACCTATGTAATCATTTTGATAATCCAACAAAATTATTTTCAAATCTGCATCTAGCTAAATTTTTAAATACTTCAGCAAAACCGTTCTTTTCGTGTATGTATTGATTATCAAAAATATTTTTTTTAAACTAATATTTGTATTTAAACTTATATTTGTAGAAAATCAAGAAAAAACATATGAATATTGTATATCGGAAGAATAAAAAAAAAGAAATATCATAATATAATATTGGATATATTAAAATCGTATCAGATGTATAATCTCTGCAAAAATTGATTAAAATTAAAAATTTATACTTTTTGTATAAAACTTATTGTTATATAGTATATACATTAGATCAATATTTACATTTAATAATACAATCTTACTGTTTAAATAAAAATGTTATCATTTTACCTTAATTATTTTTTAAAAGCATGTTTACTTCTTATTAAAACGATTTTTTATCTCCAGGTTCCAAATTGTCACTAAACTTTCATTATTTTCAAATACAACACATTAAAAAACTAATTTTTTTATCATTTTCAATTTTGTTAAAAAATACGTATAATGCAAAAACTTTCTGCAGAATATATAAACAACAAAATAAAGATTATTACAATACATTATAATAACTTTCTCACGAATATTTTTTTCTTTTAAAAATGTCGGCTATCGATACTAAATGAATGTTTATCACATGTCAGAGAATTTGTGTGTGTACATGCTTTTGAGATCCGTGCTATGTGCCCTCGCACAACAAAAGTTG